CCCATGCCCCTTTCCTCTCCCTGGAGTTTTGGGGCTTGATTGTGTGTGTGTGTGTGTGTGTGTGTGTGTATGTGTGTTGTGTGTGTGTAGATGACAGGTGTGTGTGTAAATGGTAGGTTTGGGGTGTGTACATGGCAAGTGTGTTTTGTGTATATGCATAGATGGCAGGTGTGTGCGGTGTGTGTGTAGATGGCAGGTGTGTGTGTGTGTGTGTGTGTGTGTGTGTGTGTGTGTATGTAGATGGCAGGGTGTTGAAGTGAGAAGTTCCCCCCACAGGATTGCTTGTATCCTGCCCACCTCAGAGGGTCCTGTGAATAATGTTACCTTTGAACTTTCCCTGTATTCAGCCCGATCCTTAGGATCTGGGGACAATTGTTGGCTGGCAGGAAGCTTTGGTCCTTGGGAAGTTCAGAGGAAGTCCCATGAAGTGTAGGACTGGAAAGCAGCACAGGAGGGTGGGTCGCTAAGATGGACCCATTAATTAAGAAGAAGGCTTTGCTTAACACTCACTCACCTAAACAAGGTCCAGAGCCTATAACAGGAGCTCAGACCCCTCAAGGGTGCCATGTATACCGTGTGTCTGCAGAAGCACTACTGTTGTTTAAGGACATAACAGTGCCCAGGGGAAATTCCTCCCCCGGCCCCTGGAAGAGCAGAATGCCTCAGACTCACCCCAGTTAAAGAGGTGAAGCTGCCTTTCTTTGAGTGGTGGGTGTCTCTAGGAGAAAGAAGTTTCTTAGGGCTCTGGATGTAGCTCAGCTGGCAGAGCACTTGCCTAGCCCTGGGTTCAGTTCCTGCATGGCTGAAAACTGACAAGGTGCACGCATCTGTACTCTTGGCCTCTGGAAGAAGGCAGGAAGGAGTTCAAAGTCATCCTTGGCTACCTAGAGAGTCGGAAGCCGAGGACAGCAAGCTAGCTCAGTGGATAGAGGCACTTGCTGCCAAACCTGACGACTGGAGTTCAATTCCTGGGACCCACATGGTAGAAGAAGACAACTGATTCACATCCTTACACACTCGTGTGAGTCACAGCACATGTGCATTCACATACATATACAAATACTAAATAAATATAATTTTATTATAAATACAACATTTTAAATTACTTTTGCTTAGAAACTACTTTATCTCAAGTGGCTAGATGTCAAGGGGACTTGCTAATGGATCCCAAAGCCATTCCTTGATGCCACCCAATATGTGTCACAGTGATGCCCCATGCACCAGCAGAGTGTTATAGCTGGTCTCCCTCCCACCCCAAAGGCAGATGACTTCCTTTGATCCTGATAATCAGGCACACCGTTTACCTCTCTGTAGGGACCTCACTGTGTGGCCCGTGCCTCCCTCTCCTCTGGGCTTTGGCTGCCAGAGGAGCCAGTTCATTATCCATCTCTTTAGCACCAGTACATGGCCTGGGTACCACGCAGACCCTTCATAATGACAGAATGAATGGTAACCGTGGGGCAGGAGCTGTGCAGTCCTCCTCTTTTCTGGAATCATCTCATTTTCACTCTGCCAAAAAAAGGTGAAGACAGGTTAGCAGAGTGTGGCCAGGGCTAGTTAGGGCTGGATGCTTGCCTTCTTCCTGGTGTGTCTAGTTGCTCTTTGAGAAAGCCCAGGACATGCCTTACAGCATCTTAGCAAGTTCAGCTCATAGGCTCAGGACTTACTGGAGCAACATTTGGAAAAGGAACAGACATGGTAGAACTCATTGTGTAAAACTGTGTTCCCATGCAAAACAAAAGCATAAGGCCCCCATTAAAGGGGAGGTTAGGGAGGAGAGAGACGGCCCAGCGGTTTAGAGCACTTGTTGCTTTTTCAGAAGACATAGGTTCAATTCCTAGCATGCACAGAGCAGCTCACAACTGTCCATAAGTCCAGTCCTAGGATGCACATGATGCACAGACATCCATGCAAGCAAAGCACTCATACACATAGGATAAATGCACCCTTAAAAACAGTTTTAAAAAGAGGGCCCAGGCAGTGGTGGAGCATGCCTTTAATCTCAGCACTTGGGAGGCAGAGGTAGGTAGATCTCTATGAGTTCAAGACCAGCCTGGTCTATAGAGTGAGTTCAAGTTCTAGAACAGCCAAGGATACACAGAAAAACTGTGTCTCAAAAAACCACCCCCCCAAAAGAGAGAGGAAGTGGCATTAATCATAATAAGATGCAGTTTTCCCTTCTCCCCCAGAATCTCCATTTACTTGTCCAGGTGGTTACTGATTGCCATTCAGGTTGCTCTAAGGAGAAACTGACGTGCGAAATAATTGCATGCTTTTTACAGCTCATCTTTACTCTGTGCGGTGTCAATCTGAAATGCAAATAGAAGAGTATTTAACTCATACACAGAATCACCAGAATTACAGTGTGTACCCCCCGCATCTTGCACGTGCATGTGCATTTCCGTCATTGAAAACTGGAAGAACATGCAAAAACGAGCACAACTATGTCCTTCCTTACTCACACGCCTGCTGTCAGCCTGCATCGCCATTAGGCTGGGGCCGGGGAAGCAAGGGCAACAGGGTGGCCTGCTCCCTTCTGTGTCAATGTCTCTAGGTAAATGTTAGGCCAAAACAAAGAGTGGATGAGTGGGAGAGGGTGTTACATAGAGTTCCCTTGCCATCTGCCTTTCTGAGACAGCCATTACTGTCTTGTGTGGTGGGCACAGGTTCTAGCTGCAGTGGAGCTGTGTGGTGGGCACAGGTTCTAGCTGCAGTGGAGCTGTGTGGTGGGCACAGGTTCTAGCTGCAGTGGAGCTGTGTGGTGGGCACAGGTTCTAGCTGCAGTGGACTGGTGGGACTCTCCGGGCTGTCAGTGCCTCCATTTGCTCAGTTGTAAGAGTAACAGACACATGGACCTGCTTCTGGCTGGGATTACTGATCTCCCACTCACTGAAAGTCTGTCAGAGTCTTGTGTTCATGGCACATAATCAGCACAGTCAAGGTCACTTGTGTGGGACAGCGCGCATCTCCTCTGCTCACATCCCTGCCCCACTCTTTCACTACATGTCACTTACAAGCCATAAATCCAATACAAATGGTTAATAATTTTAATATTTCAATAATAGGTCATTAAAGCAGGTCACAGGCTTGGGGAACTAGACTGGTTATCTGGTACTGATGTTCTCAGAGTCACGAGGCTGGCCAGGAGTGGCATGTATGCCTTCGTTCCATCACAAATGTGTTACATCATCTGCCAGATGCCAGTTATTTTGTGAAGTCCTGGCCCGCAGTAGAAGAAAGCAAGACATGGCCCTGGCATCAGTAGTGTTTATGATCTAATGAGGAAAACATTTTCAATTATCAATTCCCAACATGAATGAAAAACAAAATCACAACAAATATTTAAATTATAATTGTGATAAGGGCTGCAAACAGAATTTGAGGATGAGCGTTAGAGAGAAAAGCCCTCGGAAGCGGTATCTTGGCAGTGGATATAGGATAAACAGGACATGAGTAGCCTCACAGCTTCACAGGGGTGGAGCTCTGCTGAGAGAAAAGGTCCACAGAGCCAGAGTGCAGGCAGCCTGGCGAGGCCCGATGAGGGAAGGCAGGGCCCACGGCTTTTAGGGGAACCCTGTTCTCTACCTTGTCCCACCCATCCCCGGTGCCATGATGACCAAGAACCTCAAGTTAGAGGGGTTCTGATTTCTCATAGCAAGTCCAAGACACAAAACAGCACACTGGGGTTTGTCTGGGGCTGAGATGCCTGGGAGAGTCTGGGCCAGACCATGTGTTTGTTGCCCAATGTTTCTGGTCATTTCTGCAGTTCACTATACCTAAAATAGAACTCCTTTTCCTCTGCCCTCTGCCCTCTGCCCTCTGCCCTCTGCCCTCTGCCCTCTGCCCTCTGCCCTCTGCTCTGCTCTGCTCTGCTCTGCGCTTAGGGCCTTAAATGTGTTCTGTTTTGGTTTAGTTCTTTTTTTATTTGTTTTATTGTTGTTTGGGGCTTTTTTTTTTTTTTTGCTTTATTTTGAAACAGGGTCTCATATCCCAGGCTGGCACTGAGTCCTCTATTGTAGGTGAGGCCAGCTTTGAACTGCTGATCCTTCTGCTGCTACCTTCCAGGAGTAGAGATCAGAGCCAGGTGTCACCATGCTAAGCCACATTCTGTTTTTTTGTTTGTTTGTTTGTTTGTTTTTTGTTTTTTTGAGACAGGGTTTCTCTGTGTAGCCCTGGCTGTCCTGGAACTCACTCTGTAGACCAGGCTGGCCTCAAACTCAGAAATCCACCTGCCTCTGCCTCCCAAGTGCTGGGATTAAAGGCGTGCGCCACCACCGCCCGGCCACATTCTGTTTTACACTCACACGGACTTATCTGCTCTTCCCTGCTTTCCTGTAATTCTTTTCAGGGCTGGTTCTAGGTGTAGCCTTGACTATTCTGGAACTTACTATAGAGACAAGGCTGGCCTTGAACTCACAGAGATCTGCCAGCTTCTGTCTTCTGAGTGCTGGGATTAAAGGTCTATGCCTTAACAAAAATCTTAAACTAGAACCAAACATATCTCTATCCCTCAGAAGGATGAGGCATGGGGATCCCAGGTTTATAGCCAGTCTGTATCTCAGAAGATGGTGAGCTGGGTCCGTGGTAAAGGCTGTTGCCATCAAGCCTTTGACCTTAGTTCTACCTCAGGATCTACATTGCAGAGGGAGAGCCGAGTCCTATATGTGTGCTATACATACACACAGAGGCCCTGAGGGAGATGTGGGCAGCCAGTTGCTCTAGAAGCATCTATACCCAGGCAGTCTCAGCTGTCTTTGTCCTGAGGCCTCTGCTGTCCTTTGACTGAAGGGGGAGAGTCTAGGAGCTATACTCAGGTCTGAAAATAATGAGGCGTGCCAAAAATCCACAGTGAGGTGTTGCGGGGAATCAGCCACAAAGGACTCTTATGTGGGGCACTGCCAGCTCCCTCCTCCAGGTTGGAGGGTCCCTGCATTGTCTTCACAAGAGAGCCAGAGGCTGCTTCCCAGGAGACCTGTGGTCATGACCCTGTCTCTGTCCAGGTGCTGAGCGATGTCCTCAAGGATCTCTATCACCTGCTGAAGCATGTGGTGCGTTTGGAACCCGATGGTGTCGCCAAGCTGCATGCCCAGCTGGCCCTGGAGGAGCTGGATGAGATCATGAGGAACTTCCTGTTCCCACCCCAGAAGCTGGAGAAGAAGATCGTGGTCCTGCCATAGACCTGTTCACAGACCATGGAAGACAGCGGGAGTGAGAGGGTGGGGGAGGAACCAAGCAGCCAAAGCAGTGGCCCCACACCTCTCAGCGGCTGTCTCCACTGCCTCCTTGGTCCAGACCTAAGGTCTGCCATAACCCTAAGGTATCTGAATGGTGCTGGCTACTTGGGTGTTCAGGGCTACCTTTCTAGAGCATCCATTTGATCATTCTGCATCTGGCCCAAAGCACGTGCAGTTACAAGGATGAATTCCATCTAATCAGTACGCTCTTCATTGTCCTGAGCCATTTAGAGGAGATGTGTATCTAACTGTGGAGCATTTTCTTCCAGCTGGAGAAGCTGCCTCCCACCCCACCCCCGCCCAGGTCCCATGTTGCTATTCTTTCATAGTGAGATGATTCTGCCTTCGATGAGGAGCAGGCAAGCCATCAGCTGGGTGTGCAGCTGTGGGGAGGGGAAGGAAGCACTGCTTAAACATACAGAGTACAAAAGAATAACATGACCTTGGCTGGAATGATCAGCCCGTGTGAATGTGGTCACTGAGCTGGTTGACTCTTGCAGAGGAAGAGTCAGCCCTGTGTGTCCTCTGGGGCATTTTTTTTTTCCTGCTGCCTCTGTTTTTACTTGGAGCTGTCATTCAGTCCTCTGCAGGGTGATGCTGAGACCATGGAGTGGTCTGAGAGAGGCAGGCAGAGCATACGCTGTACATGGGTGGCCTGCCGCCAGCTCACTGCAACAATTTTAGATTTAGCACTGTGGTCACCCACTCTTGTATTTATGTATTGTGGTGTTTTCATTGCAAATAACAAAAAAGAAAAAAAAAGATGGAGACTGGGGAGATATGGCGATACCTCAGTCCTAAAGTACTTCCCATAGAAACATGAGGACCTCCACTCCATCCTCTGTACCCACATGAAAACACTGCTTCTGGCAGCATGTGCCTGCAATCCTAGGGGCCAGAGGAGGGTGCAGAGACAGGTGCATCTTGAAGGCTCACTGGCCAGCCAATCTAATCTACTCCGAGGGCTCTAAGCCAACAAGAGACACACTCCCCCACCCCTTTCTCTCTCTCCCTCTCCCTCTCTCTCCCTCTCCCTCTCTCTCCTGGGAAACAGCACCCAAAGTTGTCCTCTGGCCTACACACACACATACTCATAGTGTGTATACCCACATGAACATACACACACACACAAACATATACACACATGCATAGTGTGTGTGCAGAGTCACCGACATGGACACACAAAAGAAATGGAAGGAACAGGCTGTGTTGCCTACACCTTTATAAGATGAATTTGGCACTCACTGCTCCTCAGCAGGGCAGAGCTAAGCATGGAGCTTTGTCACGGTACTTTCTCTCCACTTTCTGGGGTGTCCTGATCTAAAGGAAGCAGAAATCAAACTGTGACAATGCAAGGGACTAAGGTGCTGACATTAAGGTGCTCTTGCCTGTTAAAAGCCAGCCAGATTACACAGACTTCTCAGCTCAGCTTTCCTCATAGGCATCCCCAGAAAGGTGCCAGTCACTGATACAAACCACAGGCAGTATATCAAGCAAAGGATCAAACAAGGCTGTTGTCTGTGGTGGCACACACCTTTGATCCCAGCACTTGGGAGGCAGAGGCAGGTGGATTTCTGAGTTCAAGGCCAGCCTGATCTACCGAGTGAGTTCAGGACAGCCAGAGCTACACAGAGAAACCCTGTCACGAAAAAATAGAACAAAGGTCCTTGGATGTTTTGAAGAAATATTTCTGTTCAGCTATTGTAGCAGTATTAGTTTATATTTTTCAAATCAAGAATGTCTATAAAGTCAGGGTTGGAGCTGCTGCTGCTTCTCCTCCTCCTCCTCCTCCTCCTCCTCCTCCTCCTCTTCCTCCTCCTTCTTCTTCTTCTTTTTAAGGTTTTTTTGAGACAGGGTTTCTCTTTGTAGCCCTGGCTGTCCTGGAACCCACCTCTGTATACCAGGCTGGCCTTGAACTCAGAAATGCACCTGCCTCTGCCTCCCAAGTGCTGGGATTAAAGGCATGTGCCACCACAGCCCAGCAGGGTTGGAGCTTCTTAAGACAGTGTTTCTTAGCCTTTAGAATACATATGACCTAAGGCTGGAGAGATGGCTCGCCAGTTAAGAGTGCATACTGATCTTTCGGAGGACCCAAGTTTGGTTCCCAGCACCCACATGAGGCACTCTCAATGGCCTGTGACTCCAACTCCAGAAGATTGACGTCTCTGGCTTCTTGGGAGCACCAGCACTCACTTGTACATACCCCCACAAATACACAGACACACATGTAATTAAAAGTAATTTTAAAATTATATATAATATTGTGATAGTTTGTACATGCTTGGCCAAGAGAGTGGCACTGTTGGGAGGTGTGGCCTTGTTGGAGTGAGTGTGTCATTGTGGGTGTGGGCTTAATATCCTCATCCTAGCAGCCTGGAAGTCAGTTTCCTCATTGCAGCCTTCAGATGAAGATGTAGAACTCTCAGCTCTACCTGCACCAAACCGGACTGGATGCTGCCATGCTCCTGATGATAATGGACTGAACCTCTGAACCTGTAAGCCAGCCCCAATTACATGTTGTCCTTATAAGAGTTGTCTTGGTCATGATGTCTGTTCACAGCAGTAAATCCCTAACTAAGACAAATAACATTTTAAAAGCTACAGCCTGCTTCAGACATGCAGTTGAGTATGCTAGGCAGTCTGAGTACCACCCACTGCATTGACGTCAGTGTGCTCTAACTTTGAGGATGTTCATGATGACTTTGAGGATCTTCTCCATCTGAATGCATACACCCCTCAGAGCCTTGGTCCCTTTATCTCTGTGCGTAAATTGACTCTTAGTTGGAACTAATCAAAGGACTTAAAGTATTTGATTTTATTGTTTTTTGGTGTGCTCAATTTGAGAGAGTAATTTTTTCTTCCTGACTTCATTATCAAATTCAAAGGGAAGATTATTTGGTGTAACCCTTGTAAGCATGACCAAATTATTAAGAACTATCAAATAACTCTTCTAAGTTAGGCATGGTAGTTAATACTTATAACCACAGCACTCATGTGGCTGAGACAGGCAGCTTTTAGTAAGTTCAAAGTCAGATTTGGGCATGTAGCCCAAATCACAGTATGGAATGCCATCTGAAAAAATAAACTCCTAGGGGCTGAAGACGTCACTCAGCTGGAGGGATGCTTGCCTAACAGACACACAGCACTGGATTCCATCCCCAGACACCCTGGTATAGACCTGTAATCCCAGCACTTTGGACATAAAGGCAAAAGGATCATAAATTCAAAGCCATCTTCAGCTACATAGCTAACCTGGGCAACAGGAAACACTATCTCAATTATATTTTTTATTGTAAATTTATTCATGTGCATATTGTGTTTCTGAATGAGAAGCTCTAAGGAAAGAGAATAATCGATAGGAAAAGCACAAACATAAATTCTAAAAGGTCCAGAATTCCATCTGGGCCTGGTAGCACAGACCTATAATCCCAGCTACTGGGGAGTTGAGGCTGGAGGGTGAAAAGCTCAAGGCCTGCCTGGGCTACAGTGAGTTCATGGAAACTCTGTGAGGGCTGATCTCAAAGGAAACTGTAGAGGCAGGAGCATATACCTACCTCTATGGGAGGCAGCCATGTTGCTCGGCCTTCATGAGGGCCTACACTCAATCCCAGCCCTGAAAACAAATGTCACAAACCCCAAAGCTGACATATGGCAGGAAGAGTCATGCTTGCCTGCACAACAGATCCTGAGAGCTCTCTGTCCCACCTCTGTCCGTTTGTCCTCCCTCAAGGGGCAGTCCTCTTCTGCTTCCCCTATTAGTCCTTCCATCCCACATCTGTCACTGCCAAGCCTGAGAACATGAGTTCAAATCTCAGGATCTACATGGTAGAAGGAAAGGCCTGATTCCCCCAGGTTGGCCTCTGACTTCCACACATACCCTGACAAGAACGCCCCTCCCCAGTAAATGAATGTAACAAAACATTCTCAGTTAAAGTTGCAGGAAAAATGAGTCAGGAGTGAGGATGTCGAGTGGCTGGGGTGAGGGCTTCTGGGAGTTGAGGTACAGTGGCCTGGCTGGGAAGCTGGTAGCTGTGGAAGCCAAAGACGGAGGGCTGACCACATGACACAGGAGGAAGATCGGGGGAGAAAAGGAAGAACAGGCACAAAGCCCCAGGAGAGGAGGTTTGAGGAAGAGCTGGGGTCCAGACAGAGGAAGAGGAAAGTGGGGGCGACAGGGGGAAGCAGGAAGGGGTGCAGGCGGGGTGTTCACGGAACAAAGGAGACAGACACAGACCAATTTCTCCACTTCTTTCAGCTTGTTTCTAGAAAGTGCTATGTGGTGTGTGTTGTAAGATTGGAAATAAATATAACCACACAGCCCCTTTTCTATTTTCTCCTCAGTCACAAGAAAGCAGCAGGCAGATCTCTATCTGCACCCCTCCACCTATCTCTGGGCAGTGTGGTTTCAGTTGCTCGTCCAACAGCAGAAAGAGGACAGCAAGTGTGTGCGTCTGCCAGGGTCCTCCCACCAGGGTACTCCACCCACCTGGTCCTGTCCCTTTATCTCAGAGGACACCTGAGTGAAGTGCTGCCATCTGCCTGTAACTCTCACCAGGGGTCGGGGGTGGCCATGACCCGGGAAAGTTGATTGCTTTGCAGAATAAACTGAGAGGATGAGCCATCTGATTGACCTGCTGAAACCAGAGCGAGTCTTCCATACTTCCCCACAGTCAGGCTTTCTATGACTCTAGAGTAGAAATGGCAGCTGAGTCCTGAATGTGTGTTGAGAGCTAACCACCTTTCCCTCACTGGGTGGCTGCCTTCCCAGAGCCCTGCAGAGGCCATGACCTCGAGGGCCTGTCCTGGCTGTGTCCTGCCGCAGGCTGGCTTGTGCTGCAGTCACATGCGCAGCCTCACTGCGGAGTGCTGCACCTCTGATGCATGCACCACTCTGCTCGGAGCTCAGTGTTTGCTTTGCTTGGGGGCTGGGAATGAGTCTTTCTGCTCTGTCTGCATCTGTACTGCAGCCTCTTCCCAGCTGGCCAGCTCAGGCTGTGCTCTGCACACATACTGGCAAGGGAAAAGGGAAGCCAGACCTCACAGACCCTGGGAGGGACTATGCCCTCTTAGCATTTGAGGGTCATCCCTGTCCCCCCCCCCCCCCACAGCTCCTCTAAGTGACCCAGCAGCTCTGTGATCCCAAAGATTCCTTTCTGCCCCTCCCCAAGGTGACCGTCTGTGGTCTCCAAGGACCAGAGA